TTAAACATACCCATGAATTACAAATCTTTCAGCTTCAGGATGAAAAGCTAATGCTAGTAAACCTCACAGGGATATAGAAAGAAAAAATGGTTATTTTTTTTATAAAGAGCCCATAACTTCACTGCTTAATGAAATAAAAACAGAGGTTATTCTTTTCCTAAAGTATGAAAGTGTGTCATCACAAGCATCATGGTAGTAAAACTAAGCTCTGTTTGCCAGCAAAGATGATTTCTGAATCAGAAGACATAAATGGCTACTTCTAATCCCTCAATGAGCATATGAGTTTAAATAAGAGAGGTGCTGTTATTTATTCAGTGCAACGTTTTTAGAGACTAAAGCCATCTTATAACCTATTAACTCATGGGTGGCTGTCCTCCAGCTCACAAGTCAGCCACAGACAAGTATCTGTTTGTCCGTCCTTTGTCCTCGCTCCCCGAAGCCCCTTCTGAAGGAGGCACATCACTGAGTGAATGACAGCCAACTCTGCTGCTACCCTGAGGGCCACGCATGCTCCACAACAGGAGACGCTGAGACAAAATGCTCTGCAACACCTCAAGCAGAGACAGTGGGACTTACCCACTAGGCAGTCTGACCATTCTGCGCTTCAGAGAACAGTAAAACTTCAATTCATCTTCACCCACACGTAGTCCTACCACTCTTATTTGAGTAGGGTGACAGAGCCCTGGCACAGGCTGCCCAGAGACACTGTGGAGATTCCTTCTCTGGAGATTTTCAAAACACGCCTGAACACGATCCTGTGCAACCTGCTCTAGGTCAACCTGCTTTAGCACAGGGTTGGACTAAAAGATCCCCAGAGGTCCCTTCCAGCCACTATTATGCTGCCATTCTGTCAAGTTCACACCCATACAAGTGTCCTATCTGAGACTAGGTGGGGAAAGATCAGAATTTAGGGTACCTCGATAGGCACCTGCACATGATCTGACTTGTCTGAGTTCAGATTCCAGTTTGGTTCCTACATTTTTTCACTGAAAAAAAAAAATAGTTACCTCTCCATTGCTGTTAATACCTTTTCTTACCCAGCAAAAATTTGCCACCCATTTTCTCTCACCCTTCTCTCACCCTCAGATAATTTTTGGAGATGCAAGACCTCAAATTTTCAGGTGTTTTTGTTGTTGTTTTTGTTTGGTTGTTTTTTTTTAACTCTCATTAAGCAGCACAGCTTTCAAACCTATGCCAAAATGTGCATGTATGTACATCATACCACAGTTTCAGTGACAAAATTTGACCTGGCCTTGAAATGGTTGGAAATATTCATATGGTCAGACACAAATTAAAAAATTAAAAAAATAAAATCACTCTTGAAGGTTAAGTTCTACCTTCTATGTCAGCTGTTGGACAAGTCTTTAACAATATGGATTAATTAGTACTTAACGCATCTAGAATGCATACGAAATTTGTACCTTGCCAGGCATGGCACAGAATTCGTCACTGTGCACCCAGTCACAGCTGTGTGGACACACCTTCAATGCTTCCCCTCAGGCTGTTTTTTCCGCCTCTCTTTAAGAGGCGTAAAGTCCTTCATTTCAGCCAGTTGCCACTTGCTCATTTTTTTTGGGACAATGATAATTTCTACAGAAAATACATGCATATATTATTTCAGCCATCAGATTCTGAAGACAGGATTAATGGCCCTTTACATCAATTATCACTGTGAGAATATACTGCAGGCTGATTGCAGAGGAAACCCTGAAAGATCCAAAACTGCTTTGGGGCCAGAAGGCCTTATCTTCTACCTATATGCATTTAAGAAAACTTCCTAATAATATATTTATCCTAACCTTAACTACTAGATTATGCCAATGCAAAACTTATTAAAAAGATAAATACTTCGTTATTTAACACAATATTTTTGAAGTATATCTGTGATCTGAAACACAAACATTTCAACTTGACAGCCATCCACAGCTAAATGTGGATTTACATACCTAAGTAGTAGCCATTCCATTGACCATGGTGAAGGTTAGGGCTACCAGAAGGTATAATCACTCCACTTCCACAGAAAATGTCAAAGCTGGTTTTCTGAAGTGAACTGTGAATAACTACGTTTACCTTTAGAACTCCCTGGACTGGGACACAGTAATCCTACTAAGTGTTCCACTCACTTACTGAAACAAAACTAATCTCAAAAAGTTGTTTTCCTCAATTCAAGCACCACACAGCATAGGGCCATGACAACCAGATCAAGTCTGGTACAACCTGATCACAAACATAGGACCACATGGTGAAAAACTGTTATTTTAATAACAAGTACAGGTCATAAAGCCCCAATGAGAATTTTTAGCATAAAACCCCCTATCTGCTTTGTCTTTTGGGGCAAAGGGGCACAGGAGGTGGTGGTAGAAGAGCTCTCTCAATGGAAGGATTACAAATCTGTGCCTCTTTTTGCTGTTATTAACACCATCAAGTCTTACTCAAAATGCTGCCCCCTTTCTTTGCAAATATTTAGCTCAGAAAAAAATAAACACACTTTATACCACAGTCCTTACTCAGGCAATATGCATGTTCTAGAACACGTTAGCCTACTTCTAGCTTGTGGGTCTCTAAAAATTAAGCTAACGCAAAGAGGTAGCTTAATTTCTAGGCCACTCTAGAAATTCAGCCAACAGAGTTACTATGCAATCCATTTGGGGGCCAGCATACTGAAAACTCAGATCATCTTTCTGCAGCCTGTGTGGAATTATGAAACCTAAAATGACAGCACTTTAAAGACATTTCTCCAGGTACGGGATTCCCAGTATACACAGGGGAAGCACTGTAAGAGCTTAGAGCACTTGGCAAAGCAGACACACGTGTGCTGGGCTAGATGACCTTTAAAGGTCCCTTCCAACCTAAAGCATCCTATGATTCGATGATCATAAGACATTTAATTACCTGCTGTAAGTCCACATACTACACTTCAAAAAAAAAAAAAAAAGTTAAATGCTATGTATGCAACACCCAAAGAAACGCTCAAAATGAAAACGTGTGTTGCTCAAGGCCTCCCGTGTCGTTTAGAACCTATGACACTAGCGTACGGAACTGCTCTGCATCGCCTCCGCTCCCTCACGCTGCTGCGAGGTTTTGTTACGGTGCAGGGACCTCGGAGCCCGGCTCACCACCAGTCCCGTACCCCCGCGCTGAGGACACAGCTTCCAGCCCGGGCAGGCTGCTGTGCCGGGCTGCCCTCCAGCCACCGCAAGCACCACAGAAAAAAAACATGAGTTCCCTCAAGCTTGGCGCAGCACCCTGCAGGAACAGGCAGGGGAAGGCGGCTCGGACACGCAGCCCCAGACC